ACATCAGAAGACAGAACAGTGAAGAACAGTGAACAGTGAAGTAGACTGTCCCGAACATGTTTCATGACAACTAGTGTGTGCAGCAGATCATTGCCAGGAAAGGCAAAAGTGGTTTTATATTTAGAAGAACAGTAAGATGATGTGAAGAGGTTTTGTTGAGGGGAAGAGTTGATAGAACTTTTAACCCTGGGGTCTGTGTTGTTACTGTGACAATGTTCAAAACTGTTATGAAGCAAAATACTGTAGATTGTCCTATATCTCTTAATTTTACATATATTTACATTGGGATTTATTTTATGAAACGTACCATGACTTCTTTCGTTCATGTAAGGTAAAAATTGTTTATGTCAAACTTGACTGAATTAAATCTGAAGAAATATAATGTTATAGGTTCCGATGAAGAAAGTGCCTTGATTCTCATCGGACATTAGTACTTTTACGAAAACATTACATAAATTCATCGTGGAAAACTCGGCGTGTGCTGGCCAGCTTCCTGTTAAGTGAATTATACCTACGTCAAGTCGTAATCAACTCGCTCATCGTGAACCTTCGATAAGATATCGAAGAAGTTCCAGAATAAAAGGAAGCCTTTATATTGCTTGTAAATATGTGAAACTGTTTATAAACCATTGTTTGTAATAACTATTTGTAATAACTGTTATTGTAAATTGTACTGTTGTGTGTGTATATTAAAACATATTTGTATTAAAAAAGAAAACTGTGTCTATCAATCTTGTTGGCAAATATCATAACCTGACTATATATCGGGTTTTACATAACTGCTAAGTCCAAAATACAATTAAATAACTAAATTTAAATTATCAGTTAATTCGATTTCAGACCATTTAAATTCTAATGCGTAAAAGTGGTGTGAAATATACCTGTAACATGGAAAGAAACTTCAAACCTAAAAAATAAGAATGTTTCTATTCTAGAGAGATAGTGTCAAAATATTATGGAATATAGAACACAGAAATATTTAAACGCACACAAAGTTTTATTTACCCCTTAGCTTTTGAAGTGATGAACACCAGTGTCAATTGTTTATTTTCTAACTAAATGTCTTGTGGCTTTGTTAACTTCGCGCAAACCAAACACTCGCTAATGTTATGCTGAAGACCAAATATTGTTATCTACATAATATTTCTATAAACAAGTTGATAGTGTTGTGATGCTATATCCTTTAGTGTTAACGTTAAATAACACGTTGATCCATTACACTGAAGATACACAATCTCGCCATCATCAGTAGAGTTTAAACCTAATTGTGCAACGAACTAAATAATGGATACATGTTTGTTCAATATATAAATATTCATGATATTATAAAAACACGTAGGTTAAAGAAGTATTGATAGAAATAAATAAAAACTCTATAACCCGAGCGCTTTCGAAAGGTGGACCTTTCTTCTTCAGGGGCAAAATGAAAAAGAAAGGTCCACCTTTCGAAAGCCCTCGGGTTATAGGGTTTTTATTCATTTCTATACACACACACACACATATATATATGTGTGTGTGTTTTTTTTTAAACTTAAGTGTGAAATGAGTAACATAGGGGTATAGTTAACTATGTTCTTAATGAGTGGAAAATTGATTATATAATTGTTCAAACATTTCATATAAAAAGTGTATTTAATGTTTTTTACTTATACCATTGAACTTAACATAATGTTGACCATTTTGTGTTTGAGAAATATGTCAATAATGAATGACAATTATGATTTAGACTATTTTTTTTGAACATATAAGCTCTCTTTGAAATCAATATTAGATTGATATAAGCATTTTCAACTTAGGGCATTGTAGTTTTAAACCTATTTTTTTAGTTAGTAAATTCAGCACATCATTGAATTAAAATAGACTGCGTTTTAAGGCTTTATAAACAAGCTCAACTCCTTAAGTATAACAAACTACAAACAAATTGAGATTAACTCTCATTCACATGAACATTAGTGTAAGTATGTATTTAGGTTTCTTCTTGTGTGTAAATAGGATTTTGTGAATGAACTCAAGTTGATAAGATTGTAAAATAATTCTTATATTTTTCTACCATGGCCTAGTGGTTAATATACGTAACTTTAGCAATGTATGGGTCATGGGATAGAAATCTGTCGCTGAAAGTGTTCGTCCTTTCAGCCGTGGGGCGTTATAATATACGATCAATCCCAAGAATTGTTGGTGGGTGCTACTCGTCGGTTTTCTTCCCTCTGGTCGGTAGTTCCAAAATAAGAACAGCGAAAATAGCCTTAGTAGCTTTTCCGTAAACAACAGCTAACGTATATTTTTGCGTTAAAGATATTCTACGTACCTGCTTTTATAAGGAGGCCCAGCATGACCAGGTGGTTAGGGCGCTCGACTCGCAATCTGCGAGTTGCGGGTTCGAATCCCCGTCACACCAAATATGCTCGCCCTTTCAGCCGTGGGGGCGTTATAATGTGACGTTCAATCCCACTATTCGTTGGTAAAAAAGTAGCCCAAGAGTTGGCGGTGGGTGGTGATGACTAGCTGCCTTCCCTCTAGTCTTACACTGTTAAATTAGGGACGGCTAGCGCAGATAACCCTCGTGTAGCTTTGCGCGAAATTCAAAAACAAACAATTTATAAGGGAGATTACACGATGTTAAAAGAGTACTAAGGTTATATATGTATATTCACGTTTGTGGACTATCAATATTACATTGGTTTAGCTAACAGTTATTGAGAAGAAAGCTCTAAGATAAAAAATCAAAACTAGCTAAATTATTACAAGAAAAGAAAGTATTAAGTACCTTTCATAAAAGAAAAATACACAAACAATGCCTTATGGCGACAAAACGTCTACCAACAATTTCATGGAGTAATGAATGTTAGTAAATTGTATGACCTAGTTATCCATGATAAAATAACAGTTTCTAGCAATGATAACGACATGGTGATTGACAAAACAGTAAAAACATAATACCAAATGGACATGAAAAATATTGATGCATAAAAAGGATAAGGTTTTTATGATAATTACGATAAATTAAATATGTAATGAGTTTCTTTTTGTGCCAGGTAATAATAATTTTATAATCACTCCTTTATTTTTATTATGAGTTCCTGATGTAATCAGTAAATGTCAGAGATGTCACTCAAAATTATTGGACACAGATTTGTTTGTTCAGACTCTTCTGAACAAGAAATATCAAATCAAGAAAGCCAATGTTGACTTACTACCGTTTGTTTCAGATATTATTTTATTGAAAAAAAAAAGTCGGAATTTTCAGTTCATATCCATTTCATGACAGGCTAACTAAGTCTTACTGGGATTCATAATTTGTCAAGCTCAAATTGATTCAAAACCCACAACAGAGATTAAAATGAGAAATTCATACAATATATGTATTTAAATGTAGCATTGTCTATAGTTTTTCTCTTCGAAATAAGTTAGCTGTTATTATTATAAATATCATGATAAAATGACCAAATCAGATTTTGTTTTGCCTTCCTCGTACATACGATGTTCTTTTTTTAATATGTCTTCTAGCTTTCTTGTAACGAAAACCCTTGTAAAAATGACGCTGTTTGTCAAAATGACACCATCTGTATTTGTCGGCCTGGTTTCAAGGGATACGATTGTAATATATGTAAGTTTTATTTTGAACTTAATGTACAGTTGAAAAATTCAGGCATTTCAAGCTATTTAGAATTTATATTAAGAAGAATACAAAAATAAATATTTGCATTGCCAACTTCACAGAATAACTGCATCGAAACAACTCATCATTTTAAACAAAAACTGAAAATAAATGAAAAAAAAAAACTTGAAATAATTAAAGCTTTTTTTCTGAATATTGACAGAAACAAAATATACAGTATTCACGGCAATAGAAAATTATTTGTGTACTATTTGTCTAGAAAATATATAAATACAGTAACACAAAAATTTTGTGTTTCATTAGAATCATGAAAAATTATGTTTTTTATATTAAAACGCTTGGATTTCTAGATGATTTAATACCCAGACTCTCAAATGTTGAAATTTCAAAAGATCTGATTTTTGTCGTTTTCACTAACACTAAGTTGTCTGTTTACTTTTAGCACCAAGTGGTTATCATTATCACAACGGATCTTATTTCAAGTATTACACTGTGCTTAAGACAGAACCGGAAGCTGCAGCTGCATGTCAAGCAGAAGGAGCACGATTGGCTAGAGTTCCAGATCTAGCCACTCATCAATTTTTGAAAAGCATTATTAATCCTGTTGCCAGCACCTGGATCGATCTTCGTCGAGTAAATGGAGTTTGGCAATACGAACCAACTGGTTTTACGGCTTGGGCTCCAAATGAACCCTATGGAGAGGAGTGTACCCAGATGTGGAGTTATGCTAACCTTGAATGGGATGATATCCCGTGCACTGCATATGGACTTCACTATTTATGTGAATTTCCCTTCAGCGAATAAAATCTATTTTTGATTATGTCTTAGTTAAACGTGAGACAACAGTTTTGCAATTTTGAAAGCACGCTGTGTGCATTTATCTTTACAATCAATATAACAAATATAATGAACGCATTTATATTGTTATGTCAGAAATTTCACTTTCTCGTTTCACACACACACTGATTACTAAAACTGTAAAATTTGCTGATCATAATAATGAAATTTTCAATACTGAAGACCAGCCTAAGACAAATCAGAGAAAAGGAATAATTCACGTTAATGGAAGATTAATATGATAAAATACTCGAGGCTTTTTTTCTTCCTTGAAGTATTTTTTGTATTATACTAAGATGTTTTTCTACATCTTTCATACTTAATTTGATTATAAATATGATATGGTGATAGAAATGTTTTTTGGCATAGTCCTTAACATTTTCTCCAGAAATACAATAAAAACCTAATCAGTATTTACTATTTGAATATTTTTGTGTATATTTCTTCAACTTGTCCCTATTCTTTGTTGAAGCTTAAAGCAAGTGTCAAAATATTAACACGAATTACCACGAAATCAGCCAAATCGAGGAAAATGAGACTGACAAATTGTGTTTTAAGATTTGCTGATCCTCGTGTTGAACCAATCACTCACTACTTATGATGAACAATAGGGATGGTTGCAGCTTAAACAACCAGCATGCAAAATATCTCAATATCTCATCATAAAAAGAACACTGAAATAATTTTCGGTTGAATATATTTATAAAACAATAAAACTTCAATCCATTAATCATTGGCGTGTGTAAAAAGTATTTTGCATGTGAAATAAATTCGACAAATAATTTTCTGTTAAAACTTCACACACAGTATTATAATTGAAGTAAAATATTTTGCACTCCTGGAAATATTTCCATATATGTATTCTAGTAAAACCTTGTCCATAGACACATCCTAAAGGAAGCCAGAAACATTACATCAAAATCATTTTCTCTATTATCAAAACTTGTTTAACATTAATAAGTGCAATATGAGATATAAGTGTTGTGTAGAGTCTTTGTGCGTTATAATCAGATTTTTACAAAATAATGTAAAATTTAAAGTTTTAATCATTCATGGCTGGAAATCAGCAATATATATCTTAAAGCCTAATTAAGGACATCTGGAGCGTAAAATGTTTTCTTAATCTGCGAATTTGTACACTCTCACTACACTCATCATATAATCGTGGAAAAGTTGAACGTCGTTTTATTCACTTGAAAACTGCTAAAAAAATCAAAATCTACAAATACTTATTTCAAAAAAATGCCTTTAATTTGTGATGTAAATGTGCATTAAATATGTTTGGAGAAACTGAAAAAATACATAATTATTTAAACACACACATATATATATATATTAGTGATTTCACAACATTAAATGATAACAGCATAGCATAGAAAACTATTTTATATTACATTATATTTACAATAGACCTTTCTTTTCTCTGGAGCTGTTGTTATTTCACTTTGTTATTATGACAAATAAGAGATATTTATATGTTCTGACATGGTGAGTCTACGGATTTTTAAACTAAGTCTATTTATATTATATTTCTCACTTTGTCGAGCTGAAATAATTGTATTCTACGATCTAGAAAGTTTCTGAGAGGTAAACTGTACGAAACTGTACAATCCTTTTGCAAAAGTTGTGCAATTTAAATTTTAGCATTATAGTTTGCTAAGTTTCTGCAAACAATATATACGTATTAAAAGACATACATTGACATTATAACTTATTTGGCATGGTCCGTATTTTTGTGTATTTCATAGTTGAATATACTGTTAAACCGAAAGTATACTGTTTTAAAACGATCCTCGAAAAACAACCAAATTAATCCAGCATTTCATGAAATGGAAAGAAGACCCAGAAATAGTTTTTCGATTCTCTTATTATTACACATTTTCTGTTATTTATTTATTTATGACTGTACAGGAGGGAGTCTAAAAAGTTGCAAACCTATTTTAGCAAATAGTGTACAGCCATGTTATTTAATTGACAACACGCTATACATAATTAAGTAGGAATCTGTGTTATGTCTTTCGTGACACGTGTAACAAATAATTTGTTGAATTGACGAGTTTCGTGTTTACTAATGTAGTTTTAATTATGGAAAAGATGAATTATCACAACTCAAAACATTTAAAAAAAATGTAAGTTGTAAAACTCTGGTGATCTGACATCAGCGACTAACTGGTTAGTAGATTAATGAATTATTCATTATAATCAAGTTCACAAATTTTTAAATATTGAACCACAAACAAGTGCTTTTGCCTAACTATATTATTTTTCTTTAACCTGTCGCTTTACTTGACTTCTTCAAGTTTATCTACGCGAACTTACACCCGAATAACGTTTTAATATTAAACAATTTTTTAAAAGCTATTCACTGTAACTGGTTATGGATCATACATAGGTCGCAGATAACTTAAATTTCTAGCAGAGTGGAGCATGAGCTATGCACGTGTAGTGTTTAAAGTAAGATTCTGTCATTCACAGTTTCTGGTGTGTGTGATTATGGCTTGTTTGCTTAATCATAATATTCATTTTGCTTTCGTTTTATTGTGAAATTCATAGTTAGATGCTGATTGTTTTGCACATGGAACACAATTTTAAGATTTTGTGGCTTATTTAATTTGTTTGTGCAGCATAAAGAAGTTTCAGATGCAATAAAGCATTTTAAAATTGTTGAATTGTATATTGCATTCCACTTAATTCTTTGTGTGAATATATTTAAACTCTTGTCTTTTAGGGTTTGGTGAGCTTACTTGATTATCTTGTGTTATGATGTATTTGGAGCTTGTATGCTGTGATTACAACGGGCAATAAAAAAGATATTTTCTCTGCTACTACAAAAAATACAACTGTTTCTGAGTAATTTGACGAAGCTGGTTCTAAAAACCAATTTGAAAATTACTGATCAACTCTAGTTTTCGAGTTATAGTAAATGTATTCAAAATATTTTTATATATCGTGAAAATAACAGCTTTTTCTTTAATAACTTTATTTATTCAATGAAAATTGCATATAAGAATGTTCAAAAAACAATACGTAATAGCAATACCAGTTTAAAAAAGCAATGAGCATAATTAGATTATATACTGAAAATACTTTAAGGCTACGTTCGAAACTTTCATCATGGTATTATTTTTAATTTTTGGTGACAAAATACCTGCTTTACTTGTTGCGCCTTTTGTTCATGTTCTGTTTGACGCTGTAAAAACCAGCAGTAATATTCCATCATTGCAGGATTCCATCGTCCTTGATATCGCTGTTCCATTGTAGAAATATCTTTCTGGAAGCGCTCACCGTGTCTATCGCTCCCTGCACCTATCATATCACCTAAAGCATAAATCATCACAGCACAGTTTTCATCTCTGTGATTTCCTAAGAACATTTTGACAACCAATTTTAATAATTTCTGGGCAGCAAGTTCTTCCTGATTGAGTACTGTTTTAAAATCATCATTCATCAGCATCTCCCAAATCTGTGGCCCAACGAAGATACCTCCTTTAATTTTTGCTTCTCCGATTTTTTGGAACCTTGTTAGATAGATATCTGAAACTGTTACCATCTTTGTTCATTCCTTTTACAAAATTCTTATGAGTCTCAATTTAATATGAAGTGGGGGCAGAAACACATTTTGAGAATTCATAAAAGGTTTATACCCGATATTCTGTTTCATTGGTATGTATTTCTCTCTCACTGGCCATTCCTTCTTTTTGAAATGATTTTTATCATCTCGGCTATCCCAGAGACACAAAAACCAACAACACTTGGTATACCCACTCTGCAGGCCTAACAAGAGTGCAATAACTTTTAGATCACCATATATGTTTCACCTATTGTGACCATATTTCATGACCTCAAGTATAATCTACATGCTTTGAAAAGTTTTACAGCATGAGCAACAGGAATCGATGGCTTAGTGTTCCAATTGTACAAAAGTACAGCTTTCAGACTAGCTTCAGATGCCTCAATAAAAAGTCTCCATCTTTTTTTGTTTGTAATTAAGCACAAAGCTACACAGTGGGCTAGCTGTGCTCTGCCCACCACGGGTATCGAAACCCGGATTCTAGCGTTCTAAGTCCGCAGACATACCGCTGTGCCACTGGGGGGAGGCATGTCAAGCTAGATGTACAAACTGTACAACACACATGTGGAGCCCACTGTTTTTCTTGGTCACCAATTTTACACCCAAAATAGTGGTAGTAAGTTACCTTGTAACGATCTAAAGTAACTCGTCACTATAACCTGGGTTGAACCAAAAAACCAAATTTATTGTACTTAGAAAATCACAGAAATCCAAAGTGCTACTTTCAAATTATTAATATACGAAGTTGATAACTTAGCAAAACACAGTAAAGAAATATGTGCCTGGCCGAAACTTGAAACTAACGTTAATGAACAATACAATATATATAAATACAGGTCAATAATAAATATTTAAATAAATAAAGGAATTAGGGAAAAAATTAACCAGACAGATAAAAAACTAATTCTGAAATAACAATATTCCGTCGTATTTAAATTACAAGGTCACTAACAACATCGAGTAATAATCAGCACCGTTACTCTTCAGCTATATCTCGTGAACTAACTTGATACATCTCAATGTATGGTTTTTATTTACTTGTTAGATCACGAGATTATAAATTATGTGACCGTAATTGAGATATTTTTGTACAAAATATCTGTACCTAATTTACATACTCCTGTGCAATATTAATGATATATGTACGTCACCGCTAGGGAAAACTGATGTCAGTCGCATAATACATGTATATTTATTAAAAATAAACGTGATAATCTAGAAGGCGAGTTAGCGTTCTAAGTGTAAATAAAAATTCACAGTTAAACTAAACTACAGAAGGAATAATAAATGAACGATAAACAAAATCATAACTAAATAAAACAGAATTTGCTATCTCACAGCTTTTACCTTTTGTGTGATGATTTTCCTTCATGAAACTGTAAAAAACTTTATACAA